GATCCCGTGCAGAAGAGGAGACTAAGGAGTTTACCACACAGGACGGATCCCATGCGGAAACTGGTAGCTTTTCAGATGACGTTTGGGATTAACCCGAACAGAAAGTAGAAAAAACCCGCAAAAGCGGGTTGTTTTTCAGACAACTTTAGCATTAATAATTGACGCGACATTAACCCCAACGGAAACTAGACAAAACCTGTTCCTAAAGGAATGAGTCTTGTCTAGTTTCCGTTGGGGTTAATGTCGCTTCAGTTCTCATTAACGCTGTCGTTTGAAAAACAACCTGCTTTTGCAGGGTTTTTGGGTTAATGTCATATTAACCCCTTCGTGTGTGAAAATGTACCCGCTTTTGTAGTTTTTCCCCCAGTTTTTAAAATCCTGTTTCTGCACGGGATTTTTGCACCTTACCCGTGTGATAAACTCCCAAGAGGCGATATGATGTGTGTGGTTGTGTATACGCATGCCTTCAAGTTGCCTGTTGACTTATGGCAACCCCATTGATTTCATAGGGTTTTCTTCAGCAAGGGATGTTGAGATGGCTTGGCCAGTTCCTTCCTCTGAAATACAGCCTCCAGCGCCTGGTATTCGTTGGTGGTTTCCATCCAAGCACTAACCAGAGTGACCCTGCTTAGCTTTCTAAGATCAGATGGATTCGGGTGCCTTTAGGGTATTTAGGATGGTGTTGTTGTGAGCCTTAGGATTTAGGATGTTGTTGTGAGCCTTTAAGATATGGGATGTTGTTGCGTGCCTTTAGGATTTAGGAAGTTGTTGTGTGCCTTCCAGTCATATCCGACTTAGGGTTTTCTTTGCAGGTTTCTTCAGAGGGGGTTTGCCATTGCCGTCCTCTGAGGCTGAGAGAGTGTGGCTTGCCCAGTGGGTTTTTATGCTCCAGTGGGGAATCGAACCCTAATCTCCAGGGTCATACTTCGACACCCAAACCACTACACCACACTTTCTCACATTTAGGATATTGGCCTCTTTAAATATTTGAAAGGGGTTTCACGAAGAAGATGGCACAAACTTGTTTTATTGCCGCTCCTGATATAATCTGGATTGAAACGACAACAAAGGAAAATCAAGAACCTCTGGATTATAAGAGCTGTTTTAACACTGTCTCAGAAGGTGGTGAACTCTCTTTTCTTGGTTTTATTTTAAAAATAGAGGATGGATAACCAGCAGTCAGGGATGTTTTAGCTGTTGATCCTTGCATCTGCCAGGAGCTGGACTTTAAGACTGCATTTGCACTGCAAAAATGCAGTTTGACACCGCTTTTGACAGCCATGGCTGCATGCTATGGAATTCTGGGAACTGTAGTTTGTTGTGTCCCCAGAATTGAGACATGCGAAATGCCTCTTAAAACTACAATTCCTAGCATTCCACAGC